GAGGTTTTTACTCACGAAAGCTTATGCCCAAATAAATCTGTTAGTCTTTAAGGTGCCACCAGACTCCTTGTTGTTTTTATATACTGCAGGTAAGCATTTATGTCCAGGATAGAAATGTCTTTGGGATAACATGTGCTGGGTACCTAGAAAAATGGCAAGTACAGAGAAAAGAAAGCTTAATCACAATGGCAATTGATATTAATCTCTGACAAGCTGTCCCTAAAACGGAGGCATAACTTTAGCTGTTTGGATACCACAATCTTAACAATACACTTGAAAAACTTCCAAGAACCATAGACTGAGAGAAAAGAGACACTGAAAAAGACAAAGGGAAAGATTAATAAAGCAATTCAATAGAATGAAACAGAAAGAACAAAGCCAAAAAAGACAATAGACTAATCAAAAAGAAAAATCCTTCACAACGCCACCCTCCCCCAGTTGGTAAAGGCTAACCGAATGTGTGAACTCCCTATCCTCCATTGCTCTACTTTAACCAGCGTTCTTCTCCATGTTTTCATGGGTTAGGCAGTCAAAAGAGTGCTGCATAAAGCCGCCTAAAGGTTCTTTAAGGCTTAGCCGTGCACCAAACACAAATAGCTTTCCTCCCACATGCACAGTCACGTATGCACAAAAGGGTAATTCAAGATAGGTATGGGCTCATCAGCGCATCATCGAATCATATAAACGTAGGGCTGGAGAGGACCTCAAGACATAAATGTTAGAAGTAGGGGTGCTGCCACATCCCCTGGCTTCAAGTGGTTTCCATCATATACAAGGTTTACAGTTTGGTTCTATGGCTTTCAGCACCCCCACTAAAAAAAACTGTTCCAGCACCCCTTCCGGCCCCTACAAACCTCAAGGAGACATGTACAACATGAGCTGAGCAGCAGTATACACTCCTTGCATCATCTGAACATACACAAGCAGCAAAGGCTGGGGAACAACACATGGCCCTATTATGGGTGTTTACTAGCACCAATCACCAGGGAATGTTAGTAATGGATACACACAGCAATAGTACAGGCTGTTATACACTCACAAACCTTGCAGGGTAAATTTGCAATAGAGTAATCCTTTCTCACGTAAGAGGGTGAACCCTGGGCCATGCTACCTCACAATGGCACAAGAGCTGACCCTGACCTCCTTCAGAGCAAGGCAGTTTGGAGGCTAAACACTGGGTCGGAGGCTGACAGAGTTGCATGAGAGGCTGATCAGAAGGTCCACTGTTGGGGGGGAGGGGTGGAAGGCTGTGCAAAGGGAAGCCCAGTGTGGTGAATTGGTGAGGAGATTAATTAGGAGCAGGGAGATCTCTCCTGGGAAGAGAGATTGGATTTGTTCCCCTTAGAAAAGGAGACATCCTAAAAGTCACCCAATGAAATTAATAGGGAGCCGGTTTAAAACAAACAAAAGGAAGTACTACTTCTCACAACAGACGGTTAACCTGTGGAACTCCTTGCCAGGGCATGTTGTGAAGGCCAAGACTATAACAGGGTTCAAAAAAGAACTAGGTAAGTTCATGGAGGACAGGTCCATCAATGGCTATTAGCCAAGAAGGGCAGGGCTGCAACCCCATGCTCTGGGCATCCCTAGCCCCTGACTGCCAGAAGCTGGGACTGGACGGCAGGGGATGGATCACTCCATAGCTGCCCTGTGCTGTTCATTCCCCCTGGGGCACCTGGCACTGGCCGCTGCCGGCAGGCAGGACACTGGGCTAGCCCTTCTCGTGGGAAAGTCTGTAATATAATGAACCGTCTGGGGAAGGAAAACGGCGAGCTTCAGTTCGCCCTGTCTCACCAGTCAAGAGCAAGGGGCGGGTCAATTAAATGTCAAGGTGGCAAATACAATTAGACGAAGGAACTCACTGCCACAGGATGTGCTTGAGGCCAAACGCTTATCAAGGCTGCCCTTGTGGTCGGGGCGTCGCCGAGGCTGTGGGGCCGGGGCCCGGCTCTGCCACTGGCTCCTGTGTGGCCCGGGGCAGCCATCGCAGGGGGGCTGCGGGGCGACACCCGGCTAACTACAGCCGCGTAGCGGGGGGAGCGGTTACCTCAGCCTTGGCGCCAGGCGCGCGGGCAGGCGGCGCGCGGGACGGGGCAAGCCGCCCCCCTCCCTCGGCCGCGGCCCCAACTCCAGGGCCATGCGCGTGCCCGCCCGCTCGCCCGCCGCGTGGGCTAGGCGGCCCGCGGGCTCCCGCCAGCCCTCCCCCTCCGCACGCGCCTCGCCCCCCCCTTCCCAAGCCGCAGTCGCCAGACATCGAAGAACTAGGGGAGGGGGCGGGAGTAGCTCGCGGAACGTGACGGACTTGCCGCTCGGCCAATCCTAGCGCGCTCCTCCAGCAGTTCGGCCAATCGCCGCCCGGGAGCGGTTGCCTGGCTGCCGGTGCCGGAGCAGGGAGCGGCGCGGAACGTCGCCGGTGCTGCTGCTGCTGGCCGCGGCCGAGCGACCCCTCCCCGCTGTGTGTGCGCCGCCGGGCCCCAGCCTGCCGCCGCCATGTCGTCGCCGTCGTCGTCCGGGGAGCAGTACGAGGAGGAGGAGGACGGCGCCTACGAGAGCCAGGCCAAGCGCCTCAAGCCCAGCGCCGCCGCCGAGGAGGGCGAGATCGAGTACGGCGGCGAGGAAGGCGAGGGCCGCCGGGAGAAAGCGGCGCCCCCCCGCGGAGGGGGCTTCTCGGGCGGGGTGAGAGCGGGGCAGGGTTCCCACTTCCCACCCTCAGGAGAGAGGAGGCGGGATCTGGGGCCCCGGGGGGGGGGCAGCTGGCTGGCTACGGCCTGCGGAGGGGCAGGAGGAACTGGGGAAGTGCTGATCATTGCCCCCCCCCCATCCCCCCCCAGTCCCTGCGGAGGGGCAGGAGGTGCTGGGGAGGATTGCGGGAGATGGTGACCATCTTCCCCCCCC